AACCGAAGTGCTACTGGAGTCGAACCATCTGCAGCCACCATCCCACAGCACTTATCGGACGCCTATCGGCAAAAGTTCCTTATAAGGCCACGCTGTCCCGTTTCCATGGCGACATTCAACGTCCGCACTCTAAGACAAACAGGTCAGCAGGCTGCACTCGCACGCACCTTGGACACACTGGGTGTTGATGTGTGTCCGAAACTAGGATTAATGACCCTAACGGGGTTATTGAATTGACTGCACCCGGCTTATCCTCTCGTTATTGGTTGCACGCATCCGAAGACGCCGATGCGGCACTCACGGGTCAAGCTGGTGTAGGTATCATTCTCAGCTCCAAGGCTGAGTCATCGTTGGTTGATTGGATTCCGATGAACCGCCGTTTATGTGCAGCCCGTTTGACGACATCAGCTAAGGTGAATTCGCGAAGTAAAACAAAACGCTGTTTGTTTGTGATTTCTGCTTATGCTCCCACCGACTGCAGTTCTAATGCAGTCAAGGACACTTTCTATCACGAACTGAATGCCCTGCTACGCAGTGCTACTAGTTCAGATATTATAGTACTTGCAGGGGATATGAACGCACAAGTAGGACGTCTGAGCTCTTCAGAAGCTCAGCTGGGTGGTAAGTATGGACTTAACGCCGAACGGACTGACAAAGGCGAGCGTCTGCTGCAACTGTGTGCGGAGCACCAGTTGTTTCCTACTAGCACTGCTTTTAGACACAGTGGGCGCCGAAGTGCCACTTGGCGTCCACCTGTAGCTGGTCAGCGATGGACCCAAATTGACCACATAGCCATAAGTTAAAGGTGGCGCGGTTCCATTCTGGATTGCCGCTCGTACTGGAGTACCTGTGTCGACTCTGACCATGCTTTGGTGCGCTGTCGTTTCTCCATGAACTTTACCGGAAGGCGCACAAAGCGTCTCCCCCGATTGGCAACGGAGAAATTGTCCCAGCCCTCTGTCAGGCAAGCCTATCAAGAAGCACTGCATAACGAACTTTCGCTGTCTTGTCCTAATGATACTGAACTTCAGTGGAATAGGATCTCGACTGCCATGCACGACGCAGGAGCATCTGCTTGTGGCACTATCAGTCGTCATCGCACCAGTCACTGGATATCCGAGAGGTCCGTGAACCTTTTGGAAGCTAGAAGGCACCTCCCGGCTGGTTCTGAACACAATGTGACCAGACGGGCTATTAGGCGTGAACTAAAGCGGAGCCTACGTGCTGACAAGGAAGCCTGGTGGACCAGTAGGGCTCAGGAAATGGAGGAAGCAGGAGCAGTAGGCAATTACCGGAAGCTCTTCTAGCTAATACGCACCACTGGTCCGAGAAAACCAGGCGTCAGTGAGACAATCAGGGACAGCGCGGGTGCGCTGATACACAATAAGGAGCGCCGTATGGCTCGTTGGTCTGAGCACTTTGAACATCAGTTCAGCTGGCCCCCTGCTCCCGGACCTCTTCCTACTCAGGTGATGCAGGACGAGTCATGGACGGTTAGTTTAGAGCCTGCGTCGGAGGCCGAGGTCCGAAACGCGATCACAGCCCTCAATCGTTTTCGTGCCGCTGGCCCGGATTCCCTACCACCTGCACTATTTAAGGATGGAGGTGAGGTCCTCTGCAAAGCACTGACCTCCCTATTCGAACGCATCTGGAACGAAGAGAGTGTGCCGGCTAATTGGAGCGAATCGATTATACTGGCAATATACAAAAAGGGCAGTCGCACAGACTGTGCGAACCACAGGGGTATTAGCCTAACGCCAGTTGTGACAAAATTACTGGCCTCGATTATCGTTCGTCGCCTCACTGCAGAACGGAAATCTCGGATTAGAGAAGAGCAGGCCGGTTTTCGCCCAGGACGTGGCTGTATAGACCATATATTTACTTTGCGGCAGGTGCTAGAGCAGCGCCACGCATACCGCAGACCGACAATAGCTGTGTTCCTCGATTTCAAGAGTGCGTTCCATTCAGTCGATCGATCGATTCTGTACGAAATACTTGCGCGGAAAGATGTTCCCACGAAATATGTGAACAACCTTCGTGCTCTATACTCGAACACAACAGGCCGCCTCAGGGTCTATGGTGCCCTATCGGATAGCTTTTCGACTACAAGTGGCGTTCGTCAGGGTTGCCCGATTTCCCCGTTTTTGTTCAATTTCGTCGTGGATTCTATCATGGAGTGTTCCCTTGCGGAATCTCACGATGTAGGTGTTGAAGTGCTGCCTGGTGAACGGTTAGTTGATCTAGATTATGCGGACGATATCGTCTTGCTTTTCGACAATGTTGAGGCGGCACAATCAACCCTGAATAGCCTGTCCAGAGTGGTCCCATTATTTGGTATGCACTTCGCACCTTCAAAGTGCAACGTGTTGCTGCAGGACCACCAGCCACTCAATGACCCCTTGACGCTTGCTAACGAGGAACTCGAGGTGGTTGATCAATTCACTTATCTTGGCAGCTGCATCAGCAATGAGGGGCGCATAGAAACTGACGTGAGCTCACGCATTGCAAAGGCCCGAGCTGCCTTCTTGAACCTGCGTCATCTTTGGCGACAGAAGGGAGTTTCCCTCCGTCTGAAAGGCCGTGTATACAAGGCCACAGTGAGGGCCGTTCTGCTCTATGGTAGTGAAACTTGGCCCCTTCGGTCTGAAGATCTGAGGCGCCTTCAAGTCTTTGATCATCGTTGTTTGCGAAGCATTGCTGGTGTCGGATGGCACCAGCGTGTCCGCAACGATGATGTGCGTAGGCGAGTACTAGGTGGTGATGATCATGCTAGCTCCCTAGAACAACAGATAGCACTGAATAAGTTGCGTTGGCTCGGGCACGTGCTACGCATGCCTGGTCACCGCTTACCTAGGAGGGCCTTGTTCAGTCTACCAGGTGTCGGATGGCGCAAGGCTCGAGGTGGACAGAAGTTGACTTGGCAGCGGGAAATGAAGTCACTGACGACCAAACTGGGTGCCGTTGGTCCGTCTCGCCTTCCGGGTTGGAGTCCACGTGACTCTCCTTGTGCTTCGCCCGAGACTTTACAGGACATGGCTCGCAACCGACACCAGTGGCGCGTCTGCTGCCGCCTCCTAATCGGATTGTCTGTTTAAAGTGTTTTTGGTGCTGAGTTATCTGCGGGGTAATGGCTGATTATGAGGCGTGGCAGTGAAAGCCGCAAGTAAGCTGTCTCGCCGATGCCGCCTTATCTTTGCACGATAGCCAGCTGTTTGTGACGGTATGTTGTCTACACAAGGTGTAGGCGCCTTGACCCAGAATGTTTGCTTAGGGCATTAAGGTTTTCAGGTAAGTCCCTCTTCTCTCCCTCTTCTTATTCTTTATTTCATAGGTCCTCATGGTTGTATGGCAGCGAAGCATCAGTTCAAATGGCTGATGTACTGCTGTTGATGATGATGACATATCAAACATGCTTGGAGCAGGGATCTCGTCCCCAATACATGTCTAGGTGAGACAGACTTTCATCACACATCTGGGCTTTGGAATATAAATGAATCCATTGACAAACTGGCACAGGGTCAAATTGGACATGTAACACCGGCCGTTCGCGTTCTTCGCTTACGTAACAGTTGTGCGATTTCTCTGCCTGGATAAAGTGTATGGGCCTGGCCAAGGGCGGAAACGCACAACTCAATTCAGCTAAGTATCGGACAGCATTTTACGCAGTTAGACGCTTATCAGACATGGGACTCGCAGAAGGCGGAGGCAAGAGTATCTCGAACACGTATGGGAGCAGACACCTGACTGTCGCGATATTTGACGGCATGACACACTAAATGTTACTACAAAACGACGAGCTTTTCTATTCGCCATCCCCGGACAACGCATTTAAAGATGCCGCCTCTGTTGATTCGCTGAGGACCTCAGCAGTGGAAGCGTAATGTCTAAGCAGAGAAAAGTAATGCGTCTGCACATATTGACAACATCAGCTAGTTCGGTGGTCAGGTTTTCTTGGGTGCACGCACCAGTTCGAAGAACAATATTGCCACTAGCTGCCTGGGTCTTCTCAATGTCGTTAAAACAACGCACGCCAGTTAACTGTGATCACACGTGTCTCATCATCTAAAAGGAAACAGAAATCCCGTCGGATATTGATGACGAAACAAAGATGACTTGTGGACACATCAGACAAGTTTGAGATAAATGTAGATAATAGACGTGGCCTTGTGGTTGTTTTGTGAACCTCTTCAATGGTAACCGCAATATGTCGGCACATTGTACGGGCGTTTCGCTGTCATGCGAGGTCTCCCGCACTTATGCGGATTTGACCACAATCTTATCGGCAACCGACCGAGGCCCAACATCGTACTGATTTACGAAGTATGCATGAGCAACATACGCAGAAATAGAACCGAGCCACAGAATTCGAAACGCATTCCAGGGTTAAACGGGAGAGTGGAAAGCATCAGTGGTACGCGGATATGTCATACAGACGCTAAGCTGCCACATAACCGCCGGCAGTTGCGTACGAACAAGGAATACTGCGAGTCGGCCGCGACTATGCAGCATCGAACCGGTGACCTGTAGCTAACAAGGCAGATGTCTGATCCACTTGGCCACCGACCGACTAAAGAGGAAGCCGGACACTAGACAATACTCGTGTAGACGTATTGACCAGAAGCTCAAACACACGCGAGTGGTTGAGGAGTCAAATTTTAAATACAGATCAATCCCTGAGCGGGCGACAAACACAGACATGGTAAGCATTCGTTTTTCAACAATATGGTGTGCATGAGTTTAAAAAGCAATTGTCAAATCATTGCTAACACAGCTGAAGTCGGAGAGCGGCAAGTTTTCAAAACCAAGGTCAGAAAACGTAGGTAATATCGATGTATTAACAGAGACAGGAGACGAAAAAATTTGCATACGTCGTAGAGGATGAACAAAAGATGCACCAAGTCAATGAAAGACTAATGAAGCAAATGACAAGACAAGCACATGTTGGAGGTTTCGCGATTGCAATTCCCTCTCGAGCTGCGTATGTCACATGAGGCCGGAAATCAGATGGCCGTCAGGTGTCCGTTACAGCCGCGACATGCGGACATGTGCGACGTGACCGGCCCCAAGGGGCGTGAAGAAGAAAATGATTGAATGGCCATTTCGATGAGGTCTTCTGAATCTGGCGGAGGTGGCACAGGCATCAGGGTGGACAAATCCACTTGGGACTGTTCTCGAACACCTTGGGAAGCGTCAGTGGTGGATAGGCAACTTGGTTGGTCTAGGTGAATGCAGTCCGGTAAATTGTTCATCAGAATCTAGAAAAAGAGCCGCGATATAGTGATGAGGACTGATGGTGAAAGAGATCAAGAGCCGAAACGATCATATTGTATGAGCGCAAACAGCCATGCATGAGGGAATTATTAGCGGGGAAACATTTCGGCTGGCTTGCCAAACAACCTCCTCGTGGTGCCAGCTGGGTGGTTCGGGATTTTCCCGTTCCAGCAAATAGTTCGGCGGCAGTATTCCAAGACGTAGTGGGTTTTCGCCTGGCAAGCGTTCTCCCTATAAAAAACCACATATGTCCGATTAACAACACTGTGACACTGCGGACGTGACTCGCCACTAAATAAAGTCACTGCCCCTTGCTTCATTCTGGCGAAGCATTGTATTCCAGCAACCTTATGCTGTACTTCTGGGGAGCATTGGGCCCATGTTTGACAAAAGAACAAACGAAAGGCGTATGAACTGAGCAATCAGTCACCGGCTCCAATGGGCGTGATTCCCTGAGTTCGCTCCGCTGCCTTGCGGGCAGGCTATTCAGCCAAAGGCTCTGGGTGGTGTCCCCTAAGTCAACACCCTACTTCGGCTTGCGCAACCGGGTAGTATTTCACCTTCTGACGAAACCATGGACTTTGATGTGTTGTGTTGGGTTTTCCTTTACTATTTCTGTACCTTCTTTTGTGTTCCATGGTTTCTGATGGCTCTATGTCTATTCATAGACTGTTGCAAAATATATATAATAGGGAGATTGTGCAGTAATGTGACTACAACTGGAACGGTGCGGGAGACAAACATCGTTCGTCGATGCAGGCATCTTTAAGAGAGAAATGCGCACACCGCGTACGCGTGTACGAAGGAATGCTTGGAGGAGGTATCACTCGAAGCATACAGCAATTCGTAGGGTCCAGCAATATCTGGGAAGCGGCACCGCCCGATGTGCTCACGTTGTCATGGAAGTCGAAATGAATACACGCACTACTGGATGTGCGGGCACTCTTTCGAACGCATGAAAAATACACAATAAACAAGCATTCATCACGGTGGCCTCTTATAGACGGCGGTAGAAAGTGATCTCACAGTGCCTTCCAAAGGTGAAAGAAGTTAGCGTCCCTGGTAATACAGGATCATTTTGCCTATTGAGTGAGGGAATGCAGAACCTATACAAAGAAACTATAGCAAATGAATGGTAAAATTTTCCTCGAGTAGCACACTGGATGGAACGATGCAAAAAGAGAACTAAATCCAAACATACAGCACACAACTGCGAGAAGGAAAAGACTTATATCGCTAAGATTTAGACAACCGACCTCACGTGCCAAAAAAACAAGAGCAGGAAGTGTCACCAGCTATTTGTGAGCGTCGAGATGACACCACAGGGAGTTAGATGAAAACGCCTGCGCTCAGGATCGGGTCCCGCAACAGAGTCATGCACACACTGAGCAAGGACTGCTAAGCCGTGAAATGACCTCGGACAGCTGTTTCACAATTCTATTTTTCAAATTGATTTCTGAACCCTGGACGGGTGAATATTCAGCTACAATAAAACGCACAGACGATCCATGTCCAGCTTGATGTACTGTGGACACGGACGCACCTTAAAGCACGGTGAAAACGGTGTCGCAATTTTGTGTACTAGGAGACATGCTTACATCAAACGGCAGAAAACTCACCTGCAAAGCCAATCGTTCTCCGGGGCTATCGGCCTGGCAAACGATCGGATGGAAAGGTGTTTCCATCTTGGTGACCGGATGGCATATGGACGCCAACTGGTGACATAAGGAGGCCAACTCGAGAGTGTCCTGGGCCACACGATGACATGAGTCAGAATTGATCGCACTGGATTGCAGACAGCGGAGCAGCAACGACGCCGTTTGACCCAAGTCCCGTCGCAAACGTGCCCGTTCACCCAATAAATGAGCCAACGCGTGTTTGACGAGTTGGATTTGTCGATTTGCGACAGCCAACCGCCGAGCAGCCTCAGTGGCGACCACGCGACCTGCCAAGCACTTGGCTCGCCACACATCGGCTGCAATTCCGGCGGTATCGGCAATTTCAGCCAGTGCAGCTTTCTGCGCGGCCAAATGCTCACTCTTTCCGGTCAGGTTTACATTATCTGAAGTTAAATCTACCAGCTTGTATGCTAGGTCGGAATTGCCCGCGAGCGCCGAGACTAGCAGACGCTTGAGATCATTGTTCACCTATGAAAAGGAGAGAGGAGAGAAAGTGACTAGCATCCTAAACGGAGGGCCAAGTAGCCTTGAAAAGCGAATTCTCACTGAACAATTCAAGGTTTAAAATGCGATACCAGTCGAATACGTGCGCGAAGGACCTGGATGCTGATGCAACAGCGGGTTGAGTACTTTTACGCTACCCCGAGGGAAGCAAAAGGCAGGGGTTGGAAAGACCAAACAGGTGCAATCGACATTTTGTCGTGGAAAAGCAGCCCCATCGTTAAGTGATAGTGCTCAACTAGTCAGCCTAATTAGAGAGATGGAGTGTCAGTAGGATCTAATTTTTCGTTTTAGTAAGAGTCTAACCTGTCTAAGGCGATCACTCAAGGGACTGACAAAAGGTGGTCGCCATAGACAGGCTCAAGCATAGGGACATTACTAATTAAAGAAAAAGCTGGGGATGTTTTTGGCTGGTCGCCATAGCAGGCTGGCCTGTATATGGGGACTAGTACTACTTGGTACCACCTTTTATTGAGAACAGGTATATGCCGAAGAGCATAATTAGCTCAGACAGGCCTGACATGGCGCAGGAGATACAGGAAAGTTTCGTACTGTGAGATCATTGCCCCGATTACGGGTTTTTTCATTGCGTATTCTCCTTGTCCAAACTGTCGACCGCGTCTTATCTTCACGATCACTAGACTTGTGTGCACTTTGAGGAATCGCCTTACTACATTTTCTATTTCGGCTACACTATTTCACTGTGAAAGTAGCCTGTCTGTGAAATCTGACGCCGCAGATCGTACTTTACTTTCAGTGATCTCTTGCATTGTTTGACGATTGATATGAGTGTAGCTGGCTTGCCGAACAACCTCCTCGTGGTGCCAGCTGGGTGGTTCGGGATTTTCCCGTTCCAGCAAATGGTTCGGCGGCAGTGTTCCAGGACGTGGTGGGTTTTCGCCTGGCAAGCGTTCTCCCTATAAAAAACCACATATGTCCGTTTAACAACACTGTGACGTGGCGGACGTGACTCGCCACTAAATAAAGTCACTGCCCCTTGCTTCATCTTGGCGAAGCATTGTATTCCAGCAAGTTTATGCTGTACTTCTGGGGAGCATTGGGCCCCTGTTTGACAAAGGAACAAACGAAAGGCGTATGAACTGAGCAATCAGTCACCGGCTCCCAATGGGCGCGATTCCCTGAATTCGCTCCGCTGCCTTGCGGGCAGGCTATTCAGCCAAAGGCTCGGGGTGGTGTCCCCTAAGTCAACACCCTACTTCGGCTTGGGCAACCGGGTAGTATCTCGCCCTCTGAGGAAACCATGGACATTGTTGTGTTGTGTTTTATTTTACTGTTTCTGTACCTTCGTTTGGATCCCATGGTTTCTGATGGCATTATGTCTGTTAACAGACTTTTGCAAATATATATATATATATATAGCTGTTGCGCTCAACCCATTCATTCGCACCATTCGGACTGGTGACTGTTTCCCCTGCTTCACTTGCCACAGCGAAATGTCGTGTATTGAGATGGCGTCACTTGTACACGTGTCATCTCGAGGCCATATTTGTTGGGTACTTGGAACGTACTATAAATAATTGATACGGATTGGTGCTGGTAGTGCATATTGTTAACGTGCGTATTGAGTTACTATCTTGCAATTAGTGTCGTTTCTTGATTTCCGACATTGTCCTTAAATTTACGCCAAAGGAAGCGCGTTGCTCAAGATCCCGAGCGACTCCCCAGCTTACACATGGTAAATAACACATTCTAGTGAGAGTCGATCAGCAGGATGGCATCAAAAACATATATTCAGGTAGAGCAGTCCAGTTTCGGTAGATGTCACAACCGAACCATGCGAAAAACGTCATTTCCATCGAAGGAACTGCGGTGGCTTCATTTGCCATGACACGCGTCGTCCTCGTGGCAGGAAGCTTTTCATACGTTGACCGTTGGTAGAGATCAGTTAGAAGTCGTTCAGAAATTTAAGTATCTAGACAACTATATTAGCGTCTTTGGAGTAGATGAGGTCACAAAAGCCCGAGGCGCTTCTGCCATTTTCGCCAAGTGTGGCGCCAGAGCGACATCCCTGTCGCCCCGAAAGGCAGTTTACAATGCAGCTATCCGTTCAACCCTCCTGTATGGTTGTGAAACCTGACCCATCAAATCGACAGAGATAAAGAGGCTAGTTACGTTCGACCACTAGTACCTTCGCAGTTTAACTCATGTCTGGTGGGAACACCATGTGAGCGACGAGCGTGTTATACACCTTGTTTATGGCACAGGAATGAGAAGCAAACCGCTCAGTACCGTTATTTTACGCACCAGACTGATGGCTGGGCCACGTGTTGCACATACCAGCACACCGACTCCCGCGACGTGCGTTGCTTGCGCGCCGCGGGTGCAGATGGAAGAAGAGGGAGGCCAAGCGATGACTTAGTCAAGAGGAATGAAAACCCTTACTTCGAAGTTGGCCTCGGTTGGAGCCTATCGGCTCCCTCGTTGGGGACCAAAAACGATGAACACGTTTGGTTAAATACACTTATTGATATAGCGAAGATCCGACCTCAATGGCATTTGTGTTGTAAGTCTCTTTGTTCCTCACCCTTTTAGCTTCATACTCCAACCGCAATCTCATTCCCTATGCATAGTAGTACATCATGTTTTTTGGTTTTTATTTCGTACGTTGTAATGAGTAGTATCTCGCTTTTGTTATATATCTTATCTTTTTGTATTGCGAAACAGTAGCTGGCATTTCTCACCCTTGGATAACGTGCATACTGCGTCGCCAAGTTAGTGAGGAAAGGTAACAAGCAACAGAAGTACTCATGGGCACAAATCCACCGATAAAAGGATAGGAGAGGAAAAATATGATCCTAAGCCGGGTGGGTCAATAACAAGAGGTCACATGCAAGAGCGCTATTGGCTTTGCGATTGGCGGATTGCGAGATCCACATCCAGGAAGATGCCTCACCGGTTCGATTACGTTTAACCATACCATTGTGAATATCATCAGGTGAATACCTGGGGCTTCTCTCACATGGAACAGCATCCGAAAAAATTACATACCTAGACAGGTAATCAACAGACATCCACAAAACACTGACTAGGCAAACGCAAGCGGTTCAAGTGCAAAGGATCGGTTGATGTTGCACCAGAAGGATTGATGCCAAAACTACACACACTCAGTGGCTCCCAAAGCGTGAACAATGTCAAGCTGGCGCCGGATGTCAAAAGCAATCAGTTTACGAAAAAATATAAGATACAAAGAACCCGGCGCGTACAATATGTCATGAGAAAGCCGCCTAACAGTTTACGATAGGTGTAAGGCAGTCGAAAATGTATGACAATGATGAGTAAAGGACATTCACATGGTTACCTGGATGTGAGTTCGAACGATGGGCCGAGTGGGGCGCAAGCAGTAAGCTGATACATATGGCTAGGGTTTGTCACTGGCACGCCCAAACAGTTAGAGGCGTGCAGTGCACCTCTGTCTGTAAATGGAAACTGTCAGCCAAACCTTGACTCGAGAGTACAATTTCGAGGGGGTGAAACCTTCAGTACTGACTTTGTTCCCACACGATGTGTACGGTCGCTGGAATCGTTATTATAACGCTTCGACTATCCTCTACGAGTTACCACGTCACACGCTCAAGAAACAAGGTCGAGGTGGTGAAGTGATGGACTACGGGGTGCTCTGAGGTAGGCTGCTTGAGGTCATAAAGGGCATGAGAATGCAGAGCGGCCCGGAGATGAAGATGCTAGATGAAACATTCGGGTAATCACCTCGCTGTGAAGACCAGACCTATCTTTCCTGCTAAGAAGCACGCCCTCTGCGGATTGGCAGTGCATGATAAGCGCGTAAATCTGGAAAACACGTTGCATGTGGATGTAGGTGCGTTCTCTTCAAACAGTTTCTTGATGATCTGGCCACCGCAGAGGATAATCAACGGTGCCCTATCTGCTGCATCGAGCAGGGTGGATAGGAGTTTGGATGCTACTGCTCAAGCCTTTCCATCTTCTTATTCCTCCTCTTACGCTTTTTCTATCTTACCGTCCCGTTCCAATTTCACTTATATCCCTCCTGTTTACAACCCCCCAACTCTTGGCCCTCCCCCACCTTGCTTTGCTAGGCTTTTACCTTCTAGTTTCAACTCACATGTAAACACAGAGCGTCACCTCAGTCCTGTCGACAAGCCCATGTCCAACCAAGTGATCAAGCCCAGTTCATCGGCTTCCATTTTGAGCCCTCGATCATCCTTCAGATTGGCATGCCTCAATGTACGCACATTGCTACAAATCGCTCAACAGGCAGCACTTGCCCGAACATTAGAGACCCTCACAATCGATATCTGCTGCTTATCGGGAACCCACCTGCAAGATTCGAGCTGTGCTCACTCTGCGATCCCCTTCCGGTGACACCAGCAGCACTTTCTCATTGCGCCTATCCGGGGACGATGTAGCTTCGAGCACTGGCCAAGCTGGTGTTGGCATTGCCCTGAGTCCCCGGGCTGAAGCTACTCTGGTTGAATGGAGTCCAATCAGTAACCGGTTGTGTGCGGTCCGATTGGCTGGCTCGTTCAAAGTTTCGAAGTCGCGCGGGACTAAATGGTGTCTATTCATCATCGCTGCCTATGCACCCACAAACTGTAGCGATGATTCGATAAAAGACGACTTCTATCGCCAATTGAACGAGCTCCTTCACCACAGAAGAAGCTCGGACACTGTTGTGCTGACTAGGGATCTGAACGCTCAAGTTGGAAAATTATCCACTGATGAACTGCATCTGGGCGGCCAACATGGTGTAGGCTCCCGTAATGATAACGGTGAGCGGTTACTACATTTGTTTGAAGATGCTCGCTTATTTCTTGCGAACACTAATTTCCGACGCAGCACTCGCCAGAAAGTGACTTGGCGCCCACCAGCCTCGAACCAGCCAAGGACGCAAATCGATCATATTGCGATCAGTTATCACTGGTGAGGCCGCATCCAGCAATATCGCTCGATTTCGAACGCATGTGTGGACA